GGACAACTAAAAATATATAGAAAAAATCAGCCAGGCATAGTGGCTCATGCCTGTAATCCCAGCTACTCGGGAGGCTGAGGCAGAAGGATCGCCCGAGCCCAGGAGTTTGAGGTTGCTGTGAGCGAGGCTGACGCCACAACACTCACTCTAGCCTGGGCAAAAGAGTGAGATTCTGTCTAAAAAAAAAAAAAAAAAAAGCTATGTTCAGTTAAAGATAAAAAGAGAACTTGAAAGCGGTGGGCTATGTTAACAGGTAGATTTCAGAAGGTAACAGTAGTCTACAGCCATACCACCCTGAACGTGCCTGATCTCGTCTGATCTCGGAAGCTAAGCAGGGTCGGCCTGGTTAGTACTTGGATGGGAGAAGGCAACAATAAGTCTTTTCACCCTCCTTGCAGTCACATTTTGTAAATATCTCTCCTGTATTGTACTATTATATTTAGTTACAGCCTCAGTATGTGCTACAGAAATGGTAAAAGCAGAGGTATTGCAAATAAATAATAAATAATGGAAAAGGGATTTTCAGAGCGTAAGAGAAGAATAAGTCTCTCCAGCTTATATTGCTTCCTTCTTCTGTCTTTCAGTGTCTGCTTTTCTCTTCCTTTCTGCTTTACCTTTTCTGTATATTTCTTTTCTCTCTCCTCTTGACATAATGTACAATTGAAATACGTAAGTTTCCATGCCTCATATTTTTGGTATTTGCTTGCCTAGGTATTTTAGAGTATGACAAAATTTCTCTGGGGAATATGCCATGTTTCCTTAATATGTAAGCCGTCATCCTTACGAAAGGACTCATAGATTATTTCTCACTTGAGTCTACCAAAATAGTGATCTAAAATATTCCATTTTAATAATTGTGGGACGTATAATGTTTAAACTATACCTGCAATCACTTCATCTCCCAGAAAATTGGTCCGAAGTCTGCCCCTCCTGTTTCTGAAAGTGCTAATTAACATGTATTTTGTGGGGATTTCCCCACCCCCTGTAGGTGACATGCTTCGTTACATTCAGGAGAGTAAAGAAAGGGCTGCAGAAATGGTAAAAGCAGAGGTGTTGCGAGAACGTCAAGAAACCGCCCGAAAGATGCGCAAATATTATTTGATTTGCCTCCAACAGATTTTGCAGGATAATGGAAAAGAAGAAGGGTAAGTTCATTCCAAACAAATAATGTGTCCTGAGAGTACTAGGATAGTATGTTGTCATTTTCTAAGCATTTTCCTTAACCACAAAATTAACTATTTCTACATGATCAGCCATTGGGGGTTAAGAGAGGTTTATGGCTGTGCTACCCTAAATGTTGGCAGAGCTAATAGGAAAACAGAAATCCCGGGGCTAAGGAAACTCATTTTTTCCCTTAAACTATATTGATTTAATATTGTGGAATTTCCCCACAGGGCCGAGAAAAAGATTATAAATGCTGCTAGCAAACTTGCTACAATGGCAAAATTGCTGGAAACACCTACTTCTAATAGATCCCAGAGTAAAACTACACAATCAGGTATGTCAAAGTGGGCGACTTGAATGGTTTCTCTCCTCTTCTTGTTTGGCTATTTAATATAATATTTTCAGTATGAAGAAGAGCCAGGAATGTAAGGAATGAGAGTTAATTTATAAAGTTGTATATGTTTTACTTAAACTGCAAATTTCTGAAACATTGTATAGAGTTTCCGGTTCAGGTAGGCAGAGTGAGCATGCCCTTCAGCTTCCCATCGCTGCTTCCATCCCTAGAAATGTTAGAAAAGATTTTAACAAATAAAAAATGAAAAAAAGAAGAAATTATAACTGGGTTTTGAAAGGTTGCAATGGATAGACCAGAGGCTAGAAGAAATTCCTTAAAGAAAGAAAACAGTATAGGATTAAAGATGGAAACCTCAGTTCAAAACCACCAGAAGATGACAGCCACAAGTAGGAGCAATATCAAAACTACTGCATATATGAAGGTGGTATGTTCCAGGAGAAGTAGTAGACCTAGGAGATACCAATGGAGTGATTAGTTGATGTTCTAGAGCAACAGCAACCAGGTGGAGTCACCCTCTCTTTATTTCTTTTTCTCCCCTCCCTTCCCCAACCCCAATATTGGGCTGGGCAACAGCAACAGGAACAAAAGAGTCTGGCGACAGAACAGGGCAATGCTCTAGGTATCTAGCCATATCAAGCAGGGGCTGGGAGCCCACATGCCCAGAGTACCAGCTATTAGATCTTTCTATCCTGCTATTCATTCCATTCCCCCCTCACTTCCCTCCCAAACCCTTTAACCAAGAGTACAAACAGATATGGTATTCAGTATATCTTAAAGATAAATATTTAATCAGGAATCATTGTATATTTACAGAAAGCCATCACCATGAAAAAAAGTACCAAACTATCAACAAAACAAAACAAAAATACCAATAGAACTTATATCTAAGGAAATAGAATTAGTAGAACAAACAACAGGACCTGAGAATGTTAGAAAAGTAGAATATTAGATAGAAGAGAATATGATAAAGGAAATGAAAAATATGCCAAGATTTTTACTGTTTTCAAGGAGAGGATATAAATACTGTTAACACTAGCCATTGCTAGAAAGATACAGGTTTAAGTATGTGCATTAAAATTTAAGAGTAACTGCAGAGAAATAAAAATAGAATATACAGCCTTAAAACTGGGTAAAGGAAACTACTTGGAAGAAAGTATTTTTAATCTAACAAAATCAGGAAAGAAGGAAAAAACTAAAAAGCATAGGTCAATAGAATATAATAGTAGGTTGAAACATCAATCACACTAAATATAAACAGGTTAAACTCACTTATTAAAAGACCACAACTTTCAAATAGGGTTTTAAAAATTATGGATAGTTGCTATTTTTATAAGAAGAACATCTAAAGTTCAAAATACTTGGACAGAGAGGGATATACCAAGGAAATGCAATGTTAATATTAGATAAATTATGTGATATTAGGCACATTAGAATTAGCATTAAAAGAAACAAAGGAGATAATTCATAATGATAATGGAACAGTCTCCCCAGAAACTATAAATTGTTTCTTTCTGTGTATAATAACATAGCTTTAGAGTATGTAAAGTAAGAGCTGGAAAAAATATATGAAAAAAATTGGTTAAATACTCAGTCACACTGGGAGATTTTAACATGTTAAATATCTGTAGGGAAATGGAGTTTTTTGAACCTCTGGAAAATTGGAAGCAGCAATTGTTCAACTGTTCAGGAATCCATGAGTCTGATGTTGGTAAACATTCCTTATGTAGAAGCATAAATGTTGTCTGTATAAATTTTGCAATGGTGATGTGAACCTTAGGTATAAAAGGGCAGTGGCACGTAACAAGAAAATAATTTTCTAGATCTGGTTCAACAGCATGCACATAATGTCCCCAGTAGAAGCAAACCCTTTTCATGGACTCTAGGGACCAAGGTATACTACTCTGAGATGTGATACCTCTAATTCTATGCTGTATGGCTGCTTTGCTGTTCATCAGGTTTAGTGTCCTAGCCAATTAAATCAGAAACTTTATTTAGCTTTTACAGAAGTGTGTGTGTGTAGGTGTTGGGGGACAGGTGGGGTTCTTTCAGTAAATTCGCTTTGTCAGAAACTCCATACTTAACATCAAAATAAGAGCAGGATTGAAAACACTGTAGTTGGCTCTTGAAATGCTGTAATATCTGTCACAGAAAATGTAATAGATCAGGTGGATGGCAATAATATATCGGATTTCAGCAACTAAATTACCAAGCTTTATCTACTTGGATATATGTGAAAGAAGATTTTTAAATATCCAGCACTGACGTGTTTTCTTTAAGAATGATTACTATATATGCATTCTTTGAAAATACATAAAAATGTAATTTTTTTTCTTCTCCTTAAATGTGAATTTTCTCTTAATTTTCTGTTCCCCTAATTTTGTGTTCCCTTGCACATAGTAGCACTGCCCCTGACTTCAGAGATGCTGACTGGAGTTGAAAAATCAAAAAGAAATGATGTGAATCAGAATATACCACGTTACATTGAAAGCAAATCAAACAGTGCAAAAACTATCCCCAGAAGTATGTGCGAACAAGTTCCTAAGAGGAAGGCTGCTTGTAACTTACGAAGGCTGTTAGAGAACTCAGAGCATGGGGACATAAAGCATGTGGGATCCAAAGAGTCGCATTCCGACTTTCAGTTCGGGGATAGTAGTCGCAAGCACCTAAATGTTTTGTCAAGGGATGTTTCTCCTGAGTTTGTCCCTTGTGAAGGTGAAGGAAGCTTTGGTTTGCACAAGAAGAAAGACCTACTCAGTGATCCTGGTTCTGAATCACTTCTGCGTTCAGTCGCACACCCCTTTCTTGGAACCTTTGGAAATAAAACCTCACCTAGATGTATCCCTGGTATTTCCGAATCAGGATCCATGCATAAAACCTCTCGAGATCCTAATGAAAGACCTGGTTTAAAAGTATATACATGTAAACCACTAATGGAAAGTGAAAATGCTGCATCTGAGAAAAGTCAAGGTTTGGGTATTCAGGAAACTCCTGTAAAGGATGGAGGGGACCTTGGGGACTGCCTGAGCTGGCCTTCCAGCGATGCAACTCTACCCTGTGACAGTCATGAAGTGTCATTTGTACGTGGTAGGCCACAAGAAACTCTGGACATACTAGGTGAATCTGTTGATTTCAAACAATTTTCAGTAACCAGTTCTCTTTCAGTAACCAATTCAGGTACAGAGAAAGGTAATGTGATTTGTCAACCGATGAAATATCAGCATGACCAAACTACAGACCTATCAGAAGGAACCATGTATTCCCAGCCGGGGAAAACCAATGTGCCTCTTGGACACCCATCTCATCATAGGACAAATATGTTAAAGTCAGATTTCAAAAAACCGAGCAGTACGATACCATCTTCAGTGTGTCGGCAGCCTTCAAGAAGATTAATTGCTCCCCTATCTAGCCAACAAGATAGTGGCTTCGATAGCCCATTTGTCAATCTAGACTAACTGTTATACAGTATTTATGAAGAATCATTAATATATTGACAAGAAAACCGGGAGGGAAGATTTCATACTGAAAAAATTGTGGGCTCTGCCTATTTTGAGATGTTTTAATAACATCTATTATGTGAGTAAAGTATTCCCATGAAATTGCTTGAGGTATTTATGTTGCCTTAATCCTCTAAAGGCCTGATGGTGTATGTGTAATATGCTTCCGTGTGGTGCTTGTATTTGTTGCTAAAACATCTATTTTTATACTTATAAATTGGCTCACTCCACAGTATTAAATTATTTAAATAAACTTGGCATATGGTCTGTAGAATTGTTATGAATTATTTTATTCTGTTCATAAAACAGAAATGTTGTATTGACATCATGTTTGAATTCACCCAGAAAAAAACAAACTTTGATTATTTGTATGTATAAGCAGCCAAATTTAAATTTGAAATTAGCCATGTTTAATGAAGCTATAGACTTAATGTAGACATACTTTTC